TGCTGAGTGAAATAAGTCAATCACAAAAGGACAAATATACTATTAGTTTGTTGTTGTTGTGGATGGTCAAGGAAAGGTTTATATATGGAGGGAAACTTTCTTTGTTGGTTGCCAGGGGTGGGAGGGGAGGGAGGGAACACGGCAAAAAAAAAATGTATTGACTCATGTCGCTTTAGTTTTGTGTATTTCACTGTACATAAATTATATTTCAGTAAAATGCATTAAAAAAAAAAAGTCTGCCAGAAACTGCTGTAGAGCAATGTACACTTGTCTTCTCCTGCTAGAAAAGGACAGTCAGCAAGCCATTACTTCCTAATTTCAATCTCCAAAAGCCTCACAGCTGCAGGTGGGTAGAGGGCCCAGTTATTAGCAGCCAGGCCAGAAGTAACCTGCTATCAGTGGATCTCAGAAACGGGGGAAAGCAGGGTTCAATCAATCCCATTATGTTGAGCCGACGGCTGATCTTCTCTTTCTCCCTCTTCTCTTTATAAGCCCTGTTGAGCCATTTGCTTTTTTTAAGAATCAAAACGGGCTCATTATAAGCACATACAATGACTGCTCAGACTAAACCTTACGTTCAGGTATCGGTGACTTTTACTTATTTTTAACACCTGGAGTAGAATTGCTTGGACATTAAGTAGTTCTCTTTAACGTTTTGAGGAACTATAAAACTTTTTTCCATAGCACACACACCATTTTACAATCCCACCAGCAGTGGATGAGGGTTCCAATTTCTCTACATCCTCTCTAACACTTGTTGTTTTCCTTCTTTCTGATAATAGCCACCCTAGTAGGAGTGAGAAATAGGAGTAAAATGGTACCTTATGGTGAGTTTGATTTGCATTTCCCCAATGACAGCTGAGTACCTTTTCATGTGCCTATTGTTCATTATGACCATATTTTTACATAAAAAATACATGCATTCTATGTATTCTGGCCAACCACAATGGACAGAGGGAGCTGTTCAGCATCTTGTAAAACAAAATAGCATAGTGTACAAAAATACCTCACAGGCAGAGGATGCAGTTGGCAAAAATAAGTCAAATGTGTGCGTTATCTGTATTCAAAAAAATGGTGTATCTTCTTTGATGAAACATCTATTAAAGTCCTTTGCCCTTTTTTTAATAGACTTAATTTTTTTATATCAATTTTAGATTTTCAGAAGAATTGGGCAGAAAAGGCAGAGTTCCCATATACCTCTCTGCTCCCTGCACAGTTTCTCCTGTTATTAATGTCTTGCATTGCTATAGTCTATTTGTTATAGTGGATGAACAAATATGCAACGCAAATGCAACCATTGCCGTGGAGTCGGACCCAACTCATAGCAACCCCTCCTTGGGTTTCTGAGGCAGGATCACTACAGAAGTAGATTGCCCAACCTTCCTTCCGAGGAGTGGCTGGTAGGTCTGAACCACCAGCCTCTGGTTAGCAGTCAAATGCCTTAGGCACTACGCTACCAGAGCTCCCGGATGAACCAATACTGATACGTTATTATTAACAAAGGTCCATAGTTTACATTTGTTGTTAGATGCTGTTTAGTTGTCTCGACTCATGGCCTCTGCCTATTTTTTTAAATTGGGTTCTTTGTCTTTTTGTTGTGGAGTGAGATATGTAACTCTTAATAACTCTTAATAAGAGAAAAGTCATTATGAATTTTAATGGCATTGTTTTGGTCAGCTAATTAATTAGTTAACTGGTTAGTTAATCTGACTAATACTGTACCTCTAGTTCTTCCTGCCGTTTTCTAGCAGCCTCTTCCTTTTCTTTCTTTATTCGGAATTCTTCTTGTGCCTTGTGCTCTCTCAGCAACCACTCCTCATGTAGCTTTTGCCTATCAACAGAATATAGTCCATTAATCAAAAGAAACCGGCATTAATCTACAAATATGCACACATACATAGAAATATGACAGCAAAATGACATGTTCTAAGAATGATTAAAAAGATACTTTCCAGAAAACCAGTTAAGTGGGAGCGAAAAGATGAGGGAACAGAAGTAGATCCTAGAAAAGCGCTACATTTTGCAACTCTCTTCTTAGAGGGTGACAGCTTGAAATCACCACCTTCCACATTTCCTGTATGTGTGCATCTGGGGCATTTTTCACATGAAAAAGTGACACTACGGTCACAGTTATGGCTAGGTGCCAATGAAATGTGTAACGAGTCTCAAAGCAACAAGTAGCTCTGCAGATTCGGAAGCTATTACTCGTCCTAGTCTATGCACGGTGATTCCATGGGTGCAGCACAGTGACAACATGGCAGCTTCTGGCAAAAACCTCCGGGCTACTCCTCCATATGGTTAAGAGACTCCTGTGCTTTGCCCTAGAGTTCCTGGGTGGCACAAATGGTTAATGTGCTTGGCTGCTAGCTGAAAGGCTGGAGGTTCAAGTCCACAGAGAGGTGTCTTGGCAGAAAGTCCTGGTGATCTAATTCTGAAAGATCAGCCATTGAAAACCCTACGGAGCACAGCTTTACTCTGACACACAGGGGGTCGCCATGAGTGAGAACTGACTGACAGCACCCAACGACAACAATGCTACTAAAATGGCAGGTGTTTCAGACATTCCTATAATAAGTTTCTAACGATTTATATGCCAATTAGGGGTTCAGAACCTAGGCTGTACTTTCTCACTGAATTTGCAAAAGAGAAATGAAATATGAGAAACTGTTCTAAATTACTTTCACAATGTTGTTGTTATTATTATGTGCCATCGAGTCGGAACCAACTCATAGCGACCCCTCCTTGGGCTTCTGAGGCAGTATCATTAGAAGTAGATTGTCCCATCTTCCTTCTGAAGAGTGGCTGGTGGGTTCGAACGGCCAGCCTTCTGGTTAGCAGTCAAGTGCCTTAGGCAGTATTATGGATTAAATAGGGCTTGACATCTAGCCTGGGGGCTTAAATAAAATTTTAAATGTTCTATGCTGTTGTTGTTGTTATGTGCCATGGAGTCGGACCCGACTCATAGTGACCCCTCCTTAGGTTTCCAAGGCAGTATCGCTACGGAAGTAGATTGCCCCATCTTCCTTCCGAGGAGTGGCTGGTGGATTTGAATCGCCAGCCTTCTGGTTAGCAGTCAAGTGCCTTAGCCACTATGCTACCAGAGCTCCCTTAAATGTTCTATAGGAAAATATATTCAATTTCCAACTACAGATTCCAGGAAGGCAGCTTTTAGCTACGGTAGAAGCTGGTTTACTGCATACGTCACACTCATGCCCCTATCATAAGATAGGTACAGATGTTTTGGTGCGCAGAGTTCTGGTTTATGAATTCTTTGAGGAACATATTAATTGTACAGACACTGAACCAAAATGCTATATCCATTAAGATCTCAAGAAAGTAAAACATTTCCCACTTTAAAATTTAGTAACTGGAATATCCTATGCATCTGCTTTAAAACAGTATATGAAGTCATACAGTATGCTCATAAAATTTTTCAGTTTTTCAACAATAACTAAAGTAGCACGCAACTAGTATGGGAATATATAAAGATGAAAGGAAGATAAATATACATCTATGGTAATTTAAAAGAAGCAGTTCAAATAAATGGAGGAAGCAAGTAACAATTACTTTTCTATTTGATACCATACCTAACATCTCTGTCATAATGGCAATCTGTAATAACACCAAGTACAAGCAGAGCTATTACAGCACCTCCCATCTGAAACCACTCATATAACATCTCATGTAATCTTCACAGTTCTATGAGGCAGGTACTATGATTGCTTTGTCATTCCACGTTAAAAATAAGGAAACTGAAACTTAAGGGAGATTAAGAAACTTTAGCACACTTAGACAGCTAGTAAGTACAGAAACTCAACTAGTAGGGATGGCAATTCAGGGCTGGCTGAATCCAACTCCATAGTCTCTAATACTGTTACATAAGAAAAGAAACTCTGGTGGAAAATAGTAAGAGAAAAACTCATCTTGGGATATGGGGGGCATTTTTTTAAGTCAAACACCAAGACCAGATATCATAACGAAAGTTGACTACATGAAAATCAAATTATGGTAAATAATGTCATAAATCAAATCAGGACTAAGAACAAATGAGAAAAACATACATCACATATATGATAGATAAAGGATTAATATCCTTCAGCCTTTAATAACATCTCTTACAAAGCAAGTAAAAACAAAGATATATTCTAATCCAAAAGAAAAAGGTGTAGGACTTAAGCATTTTTATAAATAGGTAATGGTATGTATAAAACAATATTCAGCATTACTAATTAAGCAATGTACATTTCAAACAATGAAATATAACTTTTCACCAAAGCTTTAAAAATTGATAATGCCTAGTGTGGGTACAGGTGTGGGGAGAGGCATACCCTCATTCAACTGCTAAAAGGGCTGCCAATTGGGATGCACTTTCTACCTAGCCATCTACAAGATACCATCCCAGCAACTTCATCTCTAGGCATTTTCCTAAGGAAATAACAGGACAGTTTCCAAGGATTACGCAAGCATGGATGCTCTTTGCAACATTTTATATAATAGTAACAAACATTAAAACTTAAATGTCCATCAAGAGAACTATAAATTATGAATAAATTATGAATAAAGACTATACGATGCTACATCCATACAATGGATATTATGTTGCCATTAAATGGTTGAATGACCTCCCTGCATTGACACTGAAATATATACACTAGATTTGCACAAAAAAAAATTATAGAAGAACATGGGTAACTATGAACCCATTTGAGAACTATACATATATAGTACATAGGTACTTACTTTCATTCATTCTTAACAGTTGCTATCTTTGGGGTGCTGTGTGTATCGAAGCCCTTTCACCTTTTACACTTAATTGTTGGAATTTTTGTTTTGTTTCGGCAAAAACATTTACAAATTAACAAAAAGTAAATACTTGGGTTAAAAAAAAAAGACAATACCCAGCGATAACCTATCAGCTAGAGATATAAATATTCTATACAAAGTATTTCAGAAGATCTGTTTTGTACAGTGAAACCTGTGAGAGCTGGAACTCAATGGGATGGCTTTGTTTTTCTGGGTCTTCTAAGTTTTTCACCTTCGACAGGGTCCAAGTCTTACCACTTTTCTATTGTTCTCTATTAGTGGAAAATATTTGAGTTTTCCTTCTCTGACAGGTTTCCACCTTATACAGGTTCTGGGTTTTGCAGGTTTTACCGAACAGGGCTTTGTAAAGAACACTTTACAAGTATACTAGTCAAGGCTTGCAATACTCAAAATAACTGAGTTCACTTTAAGGGCTGAAAGCAGTGCTGACCTGTCTGTCTCCAACAGCTTCTCCTCTAGTTGGCATTCTTCAATAAAAGCATCCTTCTCCTCCTCCTCCTCCTCCTGTGAGAGTCCTGGTGGAATTTAAACATTTCATTATACTATCTACATACTATCAACCTAGGTCAGTAATTTGAGGGAAAAAAATTACATAAAATCTTTAGTCTTTATGAAATGGTGTGAACCTGTTTTTATAACTTTCTAATAAGAAGGACTCCAACTGGCTAAATTTGGAACAATCTGAGCATGAGAAAGAACAATAATGGAGTGGATAACACATTAACTTTAAAAAAATTAAGATCCAATAGATCTACCATCTCAGGACCATAGTACTGGGGACACCAGACTGAATTGGCACAACAAAATACATAAAAGCCTTGCTCCACATCCTACATTGGTGAGTAGCAACTGGGGTCTTAAAAGCTTTCAAGCAGCCATCTAAGATGCAGCTAATGGTCTCCTAGGGTTGGAAGCAAACAAGAACGCAAAAGAAACAAAAAAAAGAGCATTTAGAAGCAATCAGCCCTAGGACACGATGGCCCTCAAGACCAGAAGAACTACATGGTGCCCAGCTACCAATGCCAACCACTCAGGAAAGGATCAAATCTGGAGATCCTGGATAGAGTGGGAGGAAAAACGTGGAACAAAATCCAAAAACTCAATAATGACCAGAATTACTGGTCAGATGAAATCTGGTGAGACTAACAATACTATGGCCCTGGAATACATTCTGCACCTGGAATAAAACCCACCCCCAGGGGCTGGCTCTCAGCCCAATAGTTAACAAGATGTATACACAGATCACTCAACCCAGGATGCCGCACCCACAACAGGTAATACATCCCTTAGAGCAACAGAGCACAGGACACCAGAGGACCAACATTCAAATGGAGGAAATGCAGGACAAACAGGAGTGCATAAATATGAGGGGCACAGGGGGAGGGTTACAGGGAAGGGAGGGGAAGAAACTGGTTTAAGGTTGGACATGGTAAATGGGGAATGAAACTAAATGTACATGTAACACTGAAAGTAAAACAAGCTCTTAAACAAAAACAAGAAAAGGAAGAGCTCAAAAAAAAAGAAAATTAATCTGTGGTTCCATAATACTCAAAAAGGTGGTGGGGGTATGTGAGGAGGGAACATCCATCTTTACAGAAAGCTGGCAACTAAGATACTCAGATAAAAACAGGAAAATTATAACTTTTGCAAGCCCTCACTATGAAAACTAATTCAGACAAAGGTGCTGAAAAACACTAGATGAAAGCTTGTTGGCAAGAGAATATGGACCCCCACCCCAAAATATCACCCACAGATTAGGACTAGCTACAGAGGGGGAAAGGCACCTTCAGAACAGTGCAATGTGGTGGGTAATGTCTTAACCACACTTACCCTCACTCATGGGGGAACCACCTGACATTACAGACCTTCTGAGGTATACAGTAAGAAGTATACAATGCCTGTTCTGCAACATTTTGCCATAAAAAGCGTACCCTAAGAAAACAATCAGACAAATCCAGGAGGCAGAGGATTCTATAAGATGAGTGGCTTGAGCTTTGAAGTCAGTCCTAGTTTGGCGAAGTTGAAATGTGTGTGGCCTGTATACCACAGTATGGTATTATAGTTTCTTTAGTTAGCTACAAGTCTGATATTGTGTTTCTGTAGGAGAATGCTCTTAGTATTAAGAGATGCAAGCTAAAGCATTTAGGGGTGAAGTTGATGGTATCTCCGACTGACTTACAGAAAAAATGTAGGTATGGATCTATCTGCTTACATAGATAGAAAGTAAGGCAAAATGTTAACAGATGGTCAATCTACTGAAGGGTTCATGGATGTGTATTGTATTATTGTCTCAACTTTCTGCACATTGCAACATTTACGAAATAAAAACATTAGGAAATAATTTTTAGTACAGTAAAGGTTTATATCCTGTCCAATTCAAGATATGAATTTGAGAGAGAAAAAAAGCAATGAAAGTGGAGATGGAGAAAAGAGGGGAAAGAGAAGCAATCTTCAAGCAATGAAGCAATAGATCTCATGCTGACAGGAAAAGATCTTGTGTCTGTCACACACATTGAGTACAGGTCTAACCAAAGGCTCACTCAGTCCTAGATACTTAATTTACTTTTCTTGAACCAGTAAACTATTATTTCAGCATTTGAAGTTAAAATAGACAACAACAACAAAAAACGAGGGTAAGTCCTAATGCACACAATTATGCAGAGAATGAAATGAGGGCCTTCCCAAGAACCTGGCACAGGAGACTGAGTGTGACTTACTTACAGAGGTAGGCTTGTAGCCTGAGGTTCCTGGTGATGCAAACTGTCCTCAACTACTAACCAAAAGGTTGAAGGTTCAAATTCACCCAGCGGCTCCATGGGAGAAAGACTTAGTGATCTGCACCCATAAAGATTACAGCATAGAAAACCTTATGGAGCAGTTCTGTCACAAGGGGTCTCAATGACTCAAAAATCCACATACCTAACAACTCACCTAAAGGTTGGCTGAGAGAACCCACTTAGCAGTGCTGTGGGAGAAAAGCAGGGCCATCTCCTTTCAAAAAGATTACAACCAAGAAAGCCCTAAAGAGCAGTTCCACTCTGCAATACACAGGCTCAGTATGAGTCAGAGTCAACATGACGGCAAAGGTTTGGGTGTTTTTGGTTTTTGCACATATACTAGTCACTGCCTAGACACAGCTCATTCCCCAAAATACTTTTTGACTGACTCACTCAAGCCCTCATCCTCACCTCAAACCAAGCTCACACACCCTGAACAGAGGACTAATAGTTGAGTATAGTTTTCTCTACGTGTCTAATCAAATATATACAATCACACCTATATGTATAATGTAACTAACTATATTATACATGGAATTGTGTACATAGAATCATGCTACAGTTTTGAAACTAGCTCTTTATACCTATATGATGGCATAGTGATTAAAGCACTTGGCTACTAACCAAAGGTTCAGCAGTTCAAACCCACTGGCTGCTTCACAGGAGAAAGATGATGCAGTCTGCTTCCCTAAAGATTTACAGCCTTGGAAACCCTATGGGACAGTTCTACTCTGTCCTATAGGGTCACTATGAGTTGGAATCAACTCAATAGCAGTAGGTGGATGGTTGTTATGTAACATTAAGTCAATTTCCGACTCATAGAGTCTCACATAACAGAGTAACACTGTTCCATAGGGTTTTCCAGGCTATCACCTTTTATTATGTTGCTGTTGCTGAGAATATACATAGCAAGACATACACCAATTCAACACTTTCTACATGTACAATTCAGTGACGTCAATTCTTTGAGTTGTAAGACCACTCTCACTCTCCTTTTCAGAATTGTTCCTCCCCCATGAATATAAATTCACTGCCCCCTAAAGTCCCCATGTAATCGTTCAAGATGCTGTTGTCAATTTGACCCTATATAGATAATTCTTAAAAGAGCACTTGTTGAGGGAGTTCCGGTAAGAGGGCGGAATAGGCAGAAAGACTACACAGACCCTCTTCGACAAAGAAAAGGGGAACCAATTAACACAGATACAGAAGATAATCCTGGACCCCTGAGCCTTGAAGGGAAGGATATAGAAGTGGACTAAACTCCA